GAACAGATGGTAACCCCTGTGAATTAAGAAATTTGATGGGAGGCTGGGTGGTAAGACTATTACTGGTCCTGTTCATTTAGCTATGAGTTTAGACTGAAGACCTTGCCAAATGAGACCCGCCAAGCAATGGCATCTTTATTTAGGAGTAAACAGAACAATGAGCAAAGCGGGGAGTGAGAGGCCAGGAGATGAACTCAGATTAATCTGATCATGTTTTTAAGATGCTTGGATATTAGGGGAGTTAGCAGGTAAAGAACTGTGGGTTGATGTGTTTTGCAGGCTGATCATTTCTAAGTGAACATAATTGCATACACCTCAACTGTGACTATCATGTTAATAATGACAGCTTTTAAGCAGCCCGCTTTAAACTCACATCTGTTCTTTGTCCTTGGTAAGAGGTAAAGCCAGAAGTTACCCACAGCATATACTGAGCCAGAGTGACACTTCTGGACTTCAATCTTCCTAAAGCTCATAGTGCTTAAATACTGAACTGTATTTTGCCTACTCCAAGTTAACAATAAATAAATAAATAGATAAATAAATAAACGTCTGGCCTGTCAAAAGGTGGCAGCATCACTGTAACAGTGGCATAATTCACCTGCAGACCTGTACAATATGAAAAATGCTACCTGAGAGCATTTTATTTTCTTATGTTCAGTGTAAAGAATACCATTGCCTTTTTTAAGTGATTTGGGGTTTTTTTTCCTCTAGCCTTTAGGTTGTTTGCAGGGGGAGGGGAATCCTCTTTTTACTAGACCTGTAAAATTAATTGAACCACAGTGTCCATGTGTGAAGCCAAAAAGATTCACACTTTTTGGCTTCACAAGCTTTTGCCTGTCAAGCCAAAAAGCTTGTATTTCTTATCCGTCAGAAAAGTTTTTAGGAGGGGAGAAAAAAATGAGGATAAACATTTTGTCCAGTTACCTTAGGGGTAAGGTGGCTAGAACAGATAGGAAGTCACTTTACTAAAGGAATTTCAGTATAATTAAAAAAAAAAAAAGAAACAAAACAAAAACTGCGAGACCAACAGGTAAACCTTCAAATTCAAAAGTACAGAAGAAGAATATAAAGCAGGTTTGCACCTCAAGCAGCTTGTGCTCCTGAAATAATCTTCTATGTTCATTTCCCTTTTCATATTTCTTTCCCAATGTCTCCTATTTTAAACTTCAGACCAAACCTGTTACCTGCTTTTTTAATGCTCCGTGGCTGTGTCTGTAGCTGTGGACTTTTTCTGTCAGTAGTCACTGAACTGAAGAATGAAGCATCCAGGTGAGAGGGATGCAAGGAGGCAATGACTAAAGCTGCATCCTTTTCCTCTGCCTGGGGAGGCGTGTGGCACGTGCAGAATTATCTAGCACAGCAAAGGAGGCAATATCTGTCTACTTGCATACATGGGCTTGGACTAAAGAACAAACCAGGATAAGGAGAGTTGCCAGCAGGAAATCATTGTATTTGCACAGGAAAATGCAAAGTAAAGAAACTTTGGAATAGTCCAGTTTTTAAAAGAAATTAAAAAGCCTTTTTGTAATTACCGTTCACTGCAAAACCAGGAGATGTGTGTCGGTATCTCTAAAAATAGGTGAGCACCTTTGTTTTTCTCAAAGCATCGTTCCTCAGTCTGCTGTTATTTTTAGAGGGCGTCCCTCTGCCAAGCTGGCAGCTTTCTGAAGCTTGGTGTGTGGCAGCTTTCCCTCACACCGTCAGGGTTGACTAAGCCCTTCTGAGGAAAACTTGGCAACTCCCACGTAATCAAATTTGCAACCACCAGCAATTTACAAATAAACATCATTGCAGAGGGTTGGGTTGAAGAGCGTACTTTGCCAGATCTGTCACTGTGGAGCCTGTGCTCATGTGCTCATTTAAATTTTTGTCACCTTTGGGTTTGTCAAATACTCCTAGTCGTTGTTTGAAATAGTCTTAGTTATCCTGGATTTAGCACTTAGAGACTAGACACGGCATATGTACATTCTCGGCTGCCCTTTGGTGGACCCGTCAGTGTAGGAGCAACATTTGTCTGCATGGTGATGAAGCATCTTGTTTTACTTGGTCTTCTAAGAGAAATATGTAGTAAACACTAGTGTTTAATATCAATGCATTAGTCATACTTAGATATGCAAGTGACACAAACTGTGCCCTGCAAACAGGAGTGCATAACCCCAAGACACTCATTTCAATATTATATTAAGTTGACTAATCCAAGTAATATTTTAGAATACTTAAATGACACTAGCTATAAAGTGCAAAGCCTCTTAATGCTATTTGGAAGGGACAATCCAACTTTTGTTTGTAATAAATTAAAAGTATAATCTTAACATCTTCCTAAAATAAAGATACGGATCACTGCAGAATGTTAACTGCTTTTAGGATTTCAAGTACGAGCAGATAAGTTGTAAAATTAACATTCCTGATCACTTGCCAATTTCAGATTCTTGTGCTATTTATAAGTCAGCCAGCCTCTGCTTTTTTACTTAAGTGGCAGGTTCCTCTCTGACAAGAACATGGAGGGTTTTTTCCTATCACTATTAAATTGAAGGATGAAGAAACCTCTCACTTCTGTTTTTGTCTACAGAAACAAAAAAATGAAAAGGGGGAAAATAAAACCAAAACAGAAAAGTAAATGCTTGATCTAGATAAGTGTGGCGATTTTCTGGGCATGTCAATAAAGGTTCAGAGTATAATTTAAATTAACCTGTTATTTTCTCCTGATAGTAGGTTGATTTTTTACTTACAGTAAAATAGAGGAAGTTCAGCATGTTTATATTTAAACCTGCACAACGGAGTCAAGTCTCAAGGGAGTTTAGAAGTGTTAATAACACAGCCTGAACTTTAAGTTTCAGCTGCTAACATCTTGGTTTAAAGATCAGTTAAAATCCACTGCAGGCTTCTAGACCTTGATCACTTTGTCTGCCGGGGAAGTTTCCCTGCAGAGGGAAACTGCAGGAATAATTTTCCTGCAGCAGCCTGGGAAAACAGAACTGGCTGTGGAGCAGGGACCCCCACTACAGGACAGGTCCTTGGGGTCCAAGATGGAGGGGGAAAAAAAAAAAGCAGTCAGTGTTCAGTTTTGGTGGTTTTCCTTCTGACTGTGCGGTCTGTCCTGATGAGGAATTGGTAGGCTGTAGGCTGACATTCCTGAGAGGGATCGTACTAGGTATCATGAGTAGGAACAGGAGAGGGGAGAGTATTGCATGCTCCAGTCCAAAATGCAAAGTCTGCTGTCTGTCTGGAATCATAAAGCATTAAAGGTGTGCACCAGGCTTGGTCAACAGAGCATGAATGGTGAAATTCTCACTCCAGTGATTGTAAACATGAAGCTGGGACCAGCACTGCCTTGACAGGCTTTCCCTGCCTGCAGATACACTGCTGCCCCCAGCCTTACCTTCCGCGCTGCCTGCAAGTCCAATCAATGCACACAACAGCTCTTTTTTTGGTTGCAATAGCAACAACAAAAAACAGTAACTGTTTTTTGTGAGTTTCTCTGCCTGTTTGGGGGTTGGTTTTGTTTGGGTTGTTCCCCTCCACCCTCCCACTCTTCAGTGCAACCTTTATGCTTCCTAATTCTAATTCCTAAAATTGGTTTTACTCTTCCTCCAAAATTTGGGATTTGAAGTCTTTTAAAGCACAGTTTACAGCTTGCTTTTTGCCACAGCTGGGCGTCTCAAGTGTCAAGTACCCTGTAAACTAGAATTTAGGATCCCTTTCTCAGCACAGCATGTAAAATTATGAGTATTTATCTTTGGTTCTGAAATCCTCTTATTTTCATGATTTGGGTGAGGAGGGTTTTTCAATCACAAGAAAGCCACAAACCACTTCTGTGAGTTAAAGGAGGCGTAGAAGGAGGATCAGAGGCATTAGGTGCCAAGGAAAATTTCCCACCAGTATTAACAGAGCAGAGATGAGTTTTAGGTGATTATTTCATGTGAATAAAAGGTTTGGGGTTTTACCTCTTTTCCCATGCGTTGATTGCTTTACTTCTCATTCTTTGTTTTTCAGGTGGCTTCCTTAGCAGGCCCAGGAGGGAAAGTTGAAATAGAACAAAATTTTCTCAATAACAAACTGAAGACAATAACAGCTTATTTTGGTGATCTAATAAGACATGACATCTCCTGAACTCAGTGTGGATTCTTCCAAGCCCAACCGCCCTGACTGCTGCTTTGCTTAAGCTTTTGTACAGCTGGCTGGTCAGAAATGACTTAAAGCCATTTTCCACTGTAATTTCTGTTTACAGAAGTTTCTTCTCTTTATTGCTACTGTCAATAAATGTTTTATAATAATTTTGACGAATTTGTCAATGTAGAGAAGCTGTGAATTTTTGAAAAAAGATCTTTATAAAATGCAGTTTTGCAAGGTTTGAGCCCTACCCATGGAAGGGGCACTCATGATTTCTTTGCAACTCTCACAGGTGCTACTTCTGTGCTTGCTCTGGTTTTAAGCATCCAGAGGGTCAAGAAGAAAAGCCTGAAAGCTGCCAGGTGTTTCAGGAGCTGTTGTCTGTGCTTGAGAAGCATAAGTGCCTGAACATCAGGTGGAACTAGATGATCAGGTACACCATGAGAGGTTAACGCCAGTCCACCTCTCTGGCTCCATGCTCATTGGGAAACCTTTTCAGGTTTTCTTTGTAGGATGAGGGTTCACATGTTACTTCCAGTGAGTGCTCTGGATTGTTGCAGCACAAGGAGAGAGCTTGTTTGTGTCTGGAGGCAAAGCTCTACTCTCTGGGTTTTGCCATTTTATTAAATTTTATTTTTTTCCTCCTTGACAGTCCTTCTTCATTGCAAAGATATTTTGAAGAAACCTGACTGGAAGTTTGTACCAGTAAACAGAGGGGTATGTGTCCCCCTGTTTTTGAGGAATTTTGGATCCTCACACAGGCTTCAGGGAGGCAGAGGGAACCCAGCTCTTCCTGGTGAGGCCTCCCTGCTCCCTCGTGGTTCGGAGGGGAAGAGTGGCTTTTGGCCACTTCTCCAAGCAGAAAAGGAGACAGGCAAGAAGTACCTAGGGCATGGATATGGCATTCTCACTGAAATGCTTGTACAGTAAGTCCCCAGTCTCAATGTTGAGCTTGTTTCTGACATAAGAGTGTAGGAATAATAATTTTTAAGACAGGTTAGTGCTGCTTCTTCTCTGCTTGGAGTGCAGCAGGATGCTGAAGGCAGCAGAGACTAAGCACTAAACCATGCATTAGTGTTATCAAAGAAAAGTATAGCATAACTGTAGAATAACCAAATAAAGAGGATCTATTTTCCCCCTTAAGGAATGAAACCCAACTCTTCAAATCATTCAAGAGAACAAAGTGTTTGTGTGCATATGGGATGTTAAAAAACATGCAGCCTGACGTGCAAGTTCACAGTGCAGTAAAATAGCACTTGGGAAATAATTTTTTTCAAACTCTACCATCCGTCTGGTACCTGACAAGTGCTAAACTGTTAATGACTGTTACATCCATGCTTTATATAATGTATTTTAGTTTACTTTGAAGATAATTTGGCTAATTTGCATCACTGCATTTTGCCACAGTGCTACAGTGAGGAGGAAGTGTTGTGATAGTGCTGGACTCTGTATCAATATTTAAAGGGAATTATTAAGGAAATAGTATTTCTTAGTTTGCTATTAGATGGTAAGGGAAGTTGGCGAGAGTGCTAGTATTACAAGAGCTCCAAATCTGTTGTGGCAGTGGCATATGAATGTAATGATGCTGTTAAATTTTCACTACAAGCCACAAACAAAAATGCAAGAAAGTCATGAGGCCAAATGAAGATTAGATTAATTTATACTGTGTATGTCACAGTACTCTGTACACTGAAATTTTACTGTATTTGACTTATTGCTGCTTATAGAAATACCCTTGTCTTATTGTTTGGTCCTCTTTCCCTCCCTAAAGTTAAGGGAGTGCTTTAGAGGCATTTTGAGATCTTGCTGACGCTAATTCTATAAAAGGAAGCTTTGAGGGGGAAAGGCCCCTGAATTTACATTTACTTTCCAAAAAGTAGTTCAGTGCCCAGTATACAAAATGTGGAAGCTGAAATATAAAAGGTACATAATTTACTGTTTTAATATTTACTTCCAGGATCGAGAACTTCATGGTAAAAAGGAACAATTTCTCAAAGGTCTCTGCTGAGCTTTGCAAGCACATGAAGTATCAAAAGCAGAAGAGTATCTTTGTTCGTAGCTGTTCCTGTCTCTAACCAAGAAGTAAAACAGTTCTTTTTTTTTTTTAATACAACTTGAAGTTGGAATACACTCTGCTGGGTTGTGATAAGTGTTTGCCCTCATATTTCCACTTGCACAGAACTGGTGAAGTTCCCCAGGGCTTTGAATCTATCAATCTGTTAAGCCTAAAATACATATATGACTATTTTTACTTTTTTGTTAGTAAATTCAACCAACAAGCACTTCATGGAGGACAGCCTAAATTATGATATGAGGTTTTATAAAATTTTATTTTGCTTTTTATTTCAGAAAAAATTAACATGGGCTGAGACGCTGTTAAATTTCTGGACAGCTCATAGCCAATGCTTGAATACCCTTTTGGGACTTAAGCAGTATTTTGTAAATGATGCATTGGGCAGCAAAGAAATTATATTGCTACTGTAAATATTCATAGAGGTTTGGTCTTTTACCCATTTTAAGCTACAGAATAAGCTATAGAAAAATGCAGACTTTTGATTTGGAAGTTAACTAATATTTGGACTAAATGCAATAAATACATACAGTGTTACACTTTCCAGTGTGCTCTTGAACACATCTCTTTTGGTTTATCTTAATTAAATCCAGAATTAAACCAAGCCAATCAGTTTCTTTTTCTGGTGCATGGTATGAGGAGATGCAACGGAACAAGGAGTAAGTACATTACGAGGCTGAAGCTTAATTTTAGGTTCAGGGGGACCAGAGCAGAGCATCATCAGGGCTGAGCAACTGTCTATTCATGGTAGGACAGTTAGCATTGTGCCCTACTCTGAAGGAGGCCCCATTAATGTTAAGGTAAAAAATTAACTGTTCCATGAAGTTTTCATTTACACATTTTAGAAAATCTTCCCCAAGTGTAACGTTTCTGAAATAACATCTGGGTCTATATGTGCAGCTCAGGGGTTATATAAACAAATTAATGTTACGCTACAGTGACCATGGTAATATTTAGCAGAGGGAAACCCCTTAAATAGCAGAAGGGAAAAACTACTTGCAGTAACTCATTGAACGAATCACAGTAGAAAATTGAGTCATTTTCACTTGGTTTACTCTCAGCTTTCATATGCCTCATGGTCACTGTTTGTTTTAGCTGTCCTCCCCTCATACATGGTGTAACTCTTGGGGATGGTCCTGTGTGGGACTAAGAGTTGGACTTGATGATCCTTGTAGGTCCCTTCCAAGTCAGCATATTCCGTGATAAATCTTCCCACCTCCAAATACGAAGGAAGGAGGGTAATCCTATCGTGTAGTATGAACTGATTTACCATTGCTAGTATAGCCTTTCCAACGCAGGTATCTTAGTATTTCTGCCACTGGAATATCTTTGTGTGGTCTAGAGTACTTACAAAAAGTTGATTTTCAGCGTGAGGAAGTTTTAGATTTCTTTATGAAGACAGAAGAAAGATCTTTGCAAGTGTATGTTGCAGCGGCAAGAGACTAAGTGCTCTAAAACCAGGCTTGAAATCAATTCAGACCCTTTTCTGTTTCAGTTGTCAGATGATGAAGCTGTCAAGCAGTCCAGCCTGCTGGATCAGGGCAGAATATTATCGATAGCCACACTCCAGCAAAATACTTTTAAGAGTGATGCTGTGTTGATTCAGTTATGTGAAGTCCCCCAAACACCCAAATTTATTCATACAAAAAAAAAAAAAAAATAAAAAAGCAATTCATTACTTGGAGGCTGCAGAAGTTATCGCTAGCTGAGAGGAAGCAATAGGAATGGCTAAAGCCAGCTGAAGTGACTGAATGTAGTGAGGCTGGATATTCACCCGAGCAGTGAAAATCCTAGCTGCAACCATACAGAGAGGTTGCTGAAGTAAAGATTGAGTCTGCAAACAGGCTTGTCCACCCCAGAGTTTGGTTTCCACCTCTACTCGGCATGGTCCTGTGGTGTCTCTTACCAACACCTGAGGCTTTGGCAGTGCCTGTTGATACTGTGAGCAGGGCTGTTGCCCAGGGTGGAGGTGGGGCAAGCAGCAGCCCATCAGGGAGCTCTGACAGCACTGGGCTCTGCTCAAGAGTTTCCTCAACCAGGGGAATTCCCAGTCAAGCTGCACACACAGCTCTGTGAAACACTCCCTGCAAAGTAAGGGTCAGCCCCGGATTTCTCCATATAAAAACCCAAGGATCAGTGTCTTTTTAGCACGTGGTCACACCAGGTGCATCTCTGGGTGTCAGGGAGTGTGGTTTTGCCATCAACCCCTTGTGGACCCTTCTTCAAGGCTCATGCAAATGTATTTTGTGAGCTCCTCCTTTCCGCATTTTGAGGTTTTGGCCTGCCACCTTGCAAAGTTCCAAAACCAGAGCAAATTTCAAGGTGCTTCCCAGCAGCACAGGCTTCACTGAAAACCTAAAATGTCCCTCTGGGTTTCTGGGTTCTGGGTTCTCAGACCGCTGAGGAAAAAAAAGTGCTGTTGGTGGCAGTCTGGGTATGATGACAGCGCGATCCTTCCTGTCTCTCTCTGTGCCTCAACTCATTATCTTACTTTTTCTCAAGACTGCTCTGCAACCTTCTTGTGAAACCCCTGTGGTTTATTAGAGGAGTGTAATGGCAGCACCAGAGCTTTTAGCACTGCATAAACATGAGTACAGAGGTTCACAGTGTGCCTTTGGTGTTTTGGGAGCAATGAAGTGCCTTTCCCTAATGTTCTATCCTAAAAGTAGGATGTCCAAAGAATGGACATCAGAGAGGATATTCCTCTGCACAGTTATCACAGGTTGATGCGGGTTGAATAAACACATCATATTAGTGCACTACTACCTAGACCTCTGGGGGTTCTTTCATGTTGTCACAGTGTCAGACACAGTGATGGTAACACTGGCAAGAGCTTTTGTGAAAGGCGGTATTATGATCTGACAGCAAAACCTGTCCTAAGTATTCATTAAATTGTTCCAGGCACTGGGACAGCCTATGATTATGTCAAACAAGGGAGCAAATTGTACACTTTGCTTTCCTGGTATGTGCGAACTTAATCTGAAAATCTGCCTAGAAAGGTTAAACACAGCCAGCTTTGTTTAGGAGAACTCCAAACTGGCAGAGCCCATCACCTCAGAGGGTCACTTGTGGGGGGCTACCTGTGCCAAATGCTTGTGCTGGTGCAAGAATGATTTCTGTGGGTGCAGGTTGCAGCTGAACTTATCCAAGGGGTTCTCTCAGGGGTCTGAACATTTGGGTGTTCCCAGCAGATGCAATGCTATCTGTAGCTCAGGCTCTGACCTGTACGTCTGGAAAGCTCCAAAGCAGAAGCTGGAGTTCCCCAGGAAGCAGCTGTGTGGGGAACTCTGGGCTGTGGCTCCTGCTACAGGAGAAACCGTGTTCCAGGAAGTGCTTTTAGTGATGGATGGGCTTTGACACCAAAAAGCCCAGTTCTCCCAGGAAAAGTGAGCGTTGTGGGGGTTCTTCACCTTATATAGAAATTACCCACCAGGGTATTCATTAACTCTGCCAAGAGAAGGTGCTGTTAGGAGTCAGGTTTGAGAAAACTCTTCTGGTCATGTAATGTAGAGTGGGACACCAACAAGCAGGGGATCCTGTTTGGCCAAGGCTGAGCTGAGTACTGGGAGCAGAACAGAGCATGGGACCAGCAGAGCCATGTTCAGTCTGCAGAGCTGAATGCCGTGGTGCCTGGGTTGTGGTTTCTGTAAGACACACTGCCTGTGTTCACTTTTGCTTCTTGCTGCCAAGTTTTGTGACTTCACTGTCAGTCTTTTGATTTTTTTTCTGCAGCTTGTAAAGAGCATTCTCTGAAAAAAACCTCCAACCTTTATCTAAAAATAAATCTGTAGTCCTTGCAGCTAAAAAAAAAAAAACAAACCCAAACAAAAATAGCTGACACAAAAACAAGACCTGAATGCATTATAATAGTTCAGAAATCAGATAAGAATGTCTGAAATGTAAGTAATTTGCAATTACTTTGTAGGTAGGTTCACCTCATATTTTGCCCTGAGGCACAGAGATAGAGGCTGACATGATTTTTCAGCAGTTTGGATTGACCATGCTGCTTGTCCCTGCTGCTGCTCTGATTTATCAGCTTTGTTTAAAGATCAAAGCATTTAGTATAAATAAGTTAAAGTAGGTAAGTCTGACTTCTCGCACGTTTATTTTCTCTATTAATGTGAAGAATGACGATCTGTCCAGTTAGCTAAAAAATAGCTATGCCGGTACAGAAGATGCAAAATACCCTGGAAGATTCATGATCTCTACTGAGCCCAGAGGAGGAACCAGCAGTGAGCAGCTGTTTGACAGCTATGAACCGTGAGGGAAGTGAACCTGAGTATCTGGCCAGCTCAGAGCATGTTGACAGGCATGATAAGCAACAGGGATTAGGGACATGAGAAAACTGCCAAGAGCAGAAATTCCAAGGAGCAGTGGGTCCCAGCCTGGAAGTCACCTGTTTGGGTGACAATTAAAAAGAGCCAGAATTTATAGATCACATTTTATATGTATCTGGTCCTGCAGAAAGTTCATGAGTCTTAAGAGAGAAAGGAGCAGCAGCTTGTCTTGCCCAGGCTAGTGCAGGTGCGTGAGGGTATGTCTGGGAGCCGGCCTGGATTACTGCATAATTTTTGCTGGTGCTAAAAGATGCTACTGCCTTTCAATGCTGCAGAACCATCATCAGCAAAGAGGAATAGCAAAAATCCATGGCAATTTGCAATAACTTAGATAAAGCAGGATTAAGAAAGATCAAATTCCTGCTGGAGTCCATGTTGCGTTAAGCAAACACTGCCCCTTCCTTTCCTCTCTTCATCTGCAATATGAGTTTTGTATTGCTTTTGGGCCATGCAGGGATCTTTACTTTTCATTTACTCAAGAAAAACAATCAGGCAACCTTGGTGACAGGTGTCAAGTCGTGTTTTTGAGACCACACGCTGAGCAGCAATGCTAGGATCCCCACCAGCACTATCAATTTCCACAGCTTATTGCAGAGGAAGTAAACACACAAGTTGCTCCATGCTGGCCACAGCAGGACTCTCAATCCCTGTAGCACACCACACAAACTGCATTTTCAAGAAAAATACCACAGATGTTTCAACTGGTAGGCCTGGGAGCCATGCTGGGAGTAAAGAATAACTGGCCAATGTGACCCGAACAGGCAGCAGGGTGATACCAGGTACCTTCTTCATGGCATCTGAAACTCTTCAAGCTCCCCATGGGTCTCTGAAGAAAACCAGGGGAAGGAGGCAGTGCAACCAGTGGTCAACCCCATCTAGGCAGGGTGGAACCTGCACTGTCCTCTCCTGGTTAGATCTTCATTAAAAACAGGTCAAAATGAGTCAGTGTCCTAAGGCAGTGACACCTGCTGGGGTGTGATAACTGTTAGCTTTCTGATCTTAAGAAAAAATAGCAATGCTGCAGTTTGCTGCTTGCACTATAAAATGTATTTGCTAAGACCATTGGGGGTTAATTATTGGGTTAATACAAAGAGCTGTGAGTACACAATATGAGTAAGAGTATACAGTAGAAATTCTGAAGTTATGACTTCTAGCTGATGCCTGGTTATTCCAGGTGAATGTTTACTTGGTACCACAGGTGG